ATATAACTAGTGAGTTACCACTGCTACTGACACTTTAGGCAGTTTTCTCCCTCTCTCTCACCTTTGGCCAGGGTGATGCTCAGTGTGTGTCAGCGTTGCTACACATGGCATTAAGCCCCTGAGAAGTCACAGTTGATGCTATATTACTAATTATTTACTCTGGACAGCCAATAAAACTGTGGGACTGGTACTATGAGTTTATCAGGACAAAGTAAAGTTGTAGCAAACATATCTATGTAAAAGGTAATTGTTCCTAGGATTACAAGTAACCGAAAATAACAGCGTAAAATGGCCTGAAAATCTGAATGGATCTATGGAGAATTTGGATGATGTAGGTATTACGAGCACTCTGGAGAAGAGGGAATCATCTAATAATGTGCACTGAGAGTCTACAAAGACAACGACCAATTTTAATTCTACTCAGTCAATGTGGAACTGAATTTGGCTTTTCCACAGGGGTAATTTAGCAATGTAATAACCACATTAAGCAAATATTGTGTGTGTTATTTATATTTTTACAGATAAAACCAGTTTATTAAGGTAAGTAAAACTGTTTTCAATAATTGCCTAAAACAGCCTAATAGAGCTTACTAATTAATATCCTGTATTTCCTATATATTAAATAATTGCCATTCAGTATCACCTACAGGGCAGAAATAACCACTCCCAAGACAAGTATCACAGGCAACTTCCAGTTTTTGTTCAAGGTCATCTTGTATAGCTGGCTTTAAGTTTTACTTTCCATCTGGAAAGCCAGCAGTATCAGGCATTGGCAGATTTCCCAAGGAGCATGTTTCATGACAATGGTGAATGCTATTTTATAATTACTCCCTGCCTTTTCTATTCACAGGAATAGGAAGTAACTGTGGGTGATAAGATCTCAGCTATGCTATTAATATTTACTGGGTCAGAATATGCTAATGCATTTTAAAATGCATTAATTTTGCACTAACATTTTTTTGAGATTAATTTTGTATTTGTTTCTGTATCACATAGAGGTATGAGGTTTTGCTGCCTGTCTCCTCTGACAGCTAAACTGAGCTAACACATGCATTATCTGTTTTTACATTGATGTCTTTCAACATGGTAGATTTCCATGCCCCTCAGTGATATGAATCCTAAACTGCTTTTGAATCCACAAACAAGTATCCACAACAGTAACACATTAAATGGGCACCACAAGGATAATGGCTGAGCAGCTCCCTTGGCTTTTGTGTCTGTTATCACTCCAAGAAAGAAACAAAGGAAATAGAAGCAGGAGAATTAGAAAGAGAAAAAAAGTATACATGTTCTGAAGTGGTATGTTTGCTTTCCTTAATGGCAAAGAGAGACTGAAAAAGCATAGTTTGACACAAAACTCTTTTTACACTGAATATTTTAAGAAATTAGCTCAGAGAAGCCTGAGAAGCTAATGAGGGGGAATGCTGGCTAGCTATAAACTGATGCTTTTCTGTACATATTGCCTCCTTCACAGCAATATGTGCTGAGTCCTTTGCCTTTGTGAAAATATACTTGGAAGAGATGGAGATACCATATGATGGTTTTAAGATGTATTTTCATTTCCTGGGCTGGCTAGAGATGATCACAACAGCTCCTGGCATAAATTTGTGCAAATTCAAAATATCAGAGGCTTAGAAGGAGAGATGCTAGAACAGCCACAATTGCTACATAACTCGACATATCCTGAGGAGGTCCATCCTGGGCAATAAGTGAGGCAGGGGCTTGAAACAAAAATAGGATTAAATAATCTAATAACAGAGCAAATAATCATGCATTTGCTCTGCTCAGTCTTTTTGCCTGAGCTAAAATGTGATTGCACAATGTGAATTGTGGCATTACCTAATTGAAGAAGGCATGATTTTATAATCTGAAAATTCGTTCCATGTAAACTTAGATAATTCTTCACAGCAAACAGCAAAATTCAGGTGGAAATATTATGGAATTCTGGATATGAAGAGTACAGATGTCTTCAGCTGCCTTCCTTTTCTTTTTAAAGGAGAAAATAACAGCATTGAGTAAAGGAAAGACTAAAAGTCTAATATCTGATCTGCAATTTGCACCAAGGTCTGAGAAACATGATCTGTTAATTGATTTCTTAAGCTGGTTTTGCTTTCTTTATTTCTTTGTATTCATAAAAAGAAAAACGACCTCTTTTAAAGTGTACACTGAAAGATTAACTATTTCACTGTGGTATATAGCATCTCATCTGTTAAGTAGATAAGAGTTCAGCTGCTTCCCTTGCTTTTCAAATAAAAAAATTTAGGGGATGTGCTAAGAACATCCTGTCACATCTGATTTTTTTGAGCTTCACTCAGCAAAATTAAGAAACTGTATTTTGCAATAAAAAAGCTTCACAAATTTGAAAATCAGAGATGTCAAGTGGAGTTTCCCGTACTGTATGTTCTTGCTTCACTTCAGGGTTCCACAAACTTACACTGTTTAAATGTATCTTTCTTCTACTGCTTTAGTTTTTAATTGCTTAAATGAGGTCTCGCATTTAATACACCAGTAAGGAATTTCCAGTTCTATCTGCAAGGCAGAGACAAGTGACTACAAAGCAGTACAAAAGATCAAAATCACATCTATCGAAACTGTGCAGATACTTGTGGTCTTCACTTAAAAATGTCTGGTGTTCCATTTTTAAACAGAGTAAATCCTGTTTCCACAGTTCTCACTGAATGTTCACTTTTTCTGTGTTTTGGAGAAGTTTTTCATTATTTGTCTAAGAGCAGACACAGGTATTCCCCTTCAACAGTAAATAATTGGTCTGTCACTAAAAACCAGTATGTATTTCTCAGTGGGCCTGGTACAGAGATGTGGACAAATTACAACACCTTCTGAAGAGGTATCTTCTGAATAATTTTGATAAAAGTATGTATCTGACTTGTCCACCAGCCAGGACTGATGTGATTTCTGGAAGCTGTTAGTTAATGTCTGCTAGACAGTTTAATTTTCAGAGTTATGCCTTGTAAGCTGCACCGAGTTCAGGTTTGGATCTGGGCACGTGGCCTTCTTGAGTGCTGTAGTCGGGGTGATCTGAAGTCAGGTAGAGGACACATCCATTGAACACCCTGTGTCCAGTTTTCACAACGATTTCCCAGGGCAGACTCCCCAGTGCTCTGTGGCCTCCTGCTGCAGCCAGGGGCACTGGAGGTGGAAAAGCAGGTTCTGAGGGCCTTAGCTGGCAGCCCATAGTCCTCTGTGCCCCACAGCCCAGCCCAGTTTGTGAGGGAGTTAAAAACCTCCTCGAAGCCGTGGCAAGAGGCAGGCGGGTGTGGTGGGGAAGGGTCGCTGTGCTGGCCCCACAGCAGGGCAGCCATTTTGTGCTGTGTGGGAGAGCTGCCTCAGCACGGCGGCCATTTTGTCTGCGGCAGCTGCGAGGGCAGAGCTGCCCTGCCTGGCGCTGCCGGGGAAACGCCCCAGGAAGGGCTCCCTCTCAACTTTAAACGTAAAACGTGCCCATTATGAAGGGAACCTTTGCTGACCTTTCCTTCCTTGAACCAGGTAGGTGAGGTCTCTTACCTGGTGACTGACTTCAGCATCAGGTGAGTTACTGTTGCTAACTGTGTGTCCAAATCTCTTTGTAGAGGTGGAAGATTTACTCCTGAGGAGATTAACCTTTCTGTTGATGGCCCAGAGAGAAGATTGTAAGTGATTTTAATATTCAGTATAGCACAAAGCATCTTGCTTATTCACAGGGTGACTGTTGCAAAGAAGTGGGGGGAAATTAATTAACTAAAAAAATCCCACAAGCTTTGAGGTTTTAACTCAATCACAGAAATGTATGTGAAATTTCTTCAAATATAATTGAACTTTTCCTTGCTTTGATTTTGAAAACTGAAAATCTGGGTCTGTTGAACTAAAAGTATGTTTCATAGATAACAGATGAGAAAATGAGCCTGCTTGGATATGTGTAAGATTTTTTTTTAAGTATATATATTTTTTATGACTTTTGAACACTACTCTGCACACCTTTTAAGTGTACTGTCTAAGTAGTGATTCTGGGCTGAAGTCTTCTGTGATCATACTCAAAGAAGTCTGTGCTATTTGAGGGTGGGGCTTTCAACTTCTCGCAGTGTAAGTCAGGGCACTAAAGTTAACCGCCATGTGTAAGGGTTGAAGTACCAGTCCTATCGTACTTCAAAGGGAGAAGAGAGCAAATGATTTTTTTTTTTTTCAGCCTACTGTACCTTTATTTATGCCAAGGGTCTGGGTTCTGCAGGTTTTAGATCTACTGAGGTTCTTGGCCTGTTTGCAAAGGCATTGTTAGTTTGTGACCTCAGGTACTCACAAAAGACTTCAAAATAATATACTCATTATTAAGTCCTATTCTTCTAAATTCAGTGATTTAGTAATATAAACCCTACTGACTTTGTAATCAGAACTGTATTAATACTCTTTAACCTTCATTGAAGCTTCTATGCCTTACCCTTTTGTCAGTTTTAAAATCTCTTGGCAGAATTGCTATTTGATACATAAAAATGGGTTTATATTCATAACATAATGGATACCATTTAACAAATATCAAATCCTGGCTGCTATTAGTCCAGAATACAGTGTGCTCTCTTGTGACATGAACTGTCTAAGACCACTAATGAAGTGAGGAATAAAGCCTGAATTAGGTTAGACTGGAAGCTCCAAATCCCCTACCTGTTGATATTTTCTTCAGACAAATATCCTTCCCACAAAGGATTGAAGTGAGGTGTAAAAATATGCTCTGTAGACAGGTACTTTGCGGAAGTCTCCTTTTGTAAGTAATAGATCCCTTTTAAGTCTTCTGCAAATCATGCTGAATAAAAATGGTGCTGAATAAAAAAGGTAATTCCCTTTGCAACTACAAAAATATTTTCCCAGTGGCATTTTGCAAGCATTCACCTAACTTGGATGCTCTTTATCTTTCTTCCTTTTAAAATGTCAAGCAGGTAAAAGTTTTCTAAATAGCATTCTTTCTTATTTTGATTAATTTTGCATAGTGTTTTCCCAGCAGTATTGACACTTACATAAACCTGAGTTCTGATTCTCTTCTGACTAAGACTTCCCGAAGTCTCTGGATCTTTGCCATCTCAAGCTCGATTTCCTCAGGCATCATTGTTGTTTCAGCCATTGAAATGATGTCAAGTTGATCTTTTTCATAAAAGAAAGAAGAAACATTTAATTTTATTTAAAGCAGGCATGCATTAGTCAACAGTTTTTAGCATATATTGTTTTTAAGCTCTGTTTCTGGTAATGAGCCAGAATTTATAAAACAAAAGTGAAGACAACACTGAAATGAGTAATAGCCAGTGACAACATGAAACTATTTTGCCTGCTCTACAATTTCCAGGCTAATTTTCAGTTACAAAGAAACAAGTAAAATATTATTACTGTATGCACAAAAAGATATTAGCATGAAAATAATTACTATATAGGAATAAAATTATCAAACTATTACATATAATAAGAGAGACTGAAGAGGTAAAAGCAAAGCTACTTATACATATTTTTCCTTCAAATTGAATGCAGACTGGTATAGTTAAACTGAGTATTAACTTAATAATCAAATTTTATCCTCAGTGTGCCAGCCAGAAATGGAACATTAGCAACCTGTGATGAAAAGCAACCAAAAATAAAATGCCCATTAAGTCAGCAAGTGCAAATAAAACTTTCAAAGAAGCCTGCAGTGATACAATACACAGTGTGAGAATGCATTATGCTTACTGTCAATAGTTTAAGACAAATCAGTAAGGAATGTTATAAGGAAAAAGTAATTATCAGCAAAAATTCTGCTGTTGTCACTTGATGCGAGCCTATTGTCCGCTGAGAAGCTTATAGTGCTCTACAACCATAAGCTGGTGTAATTCTAATTTGGGGGCTTCTGCTATCATCTCTGTAAAAGAAAGAGGCATGAAGAAGGTGAGGTGTTTCAGTAACACAAAGGGTCTCAAGCCTATGTTGCAAGAATCCAAAACTATGACATTTTATTCTGCCACTTTTTGTCATCTTGGAGATGGAAGAACCATCTTAAATGATTCTGTTCAATTCATGACTGCAGAGAAGCTCTTTAAGGAGGTGCAGTGCAAATCAGTTCCATGGCTTCTCTAATGTGGACACCACTCATCGTATGTGTGGCTCCTCTGCTTCAGTTGAAAATTATTTTAAGTCATTGTAGTCCTGGATTGGATTTAAACTGAGAAACTGGAGGCCTACTTCTACCCCTTAAATTGACCAATAATAGATAGCCATTAATAGTATTTTAACAAGGATTAAGTTTTGTTCCAAAGCTTGGTCAGCAATTTTGAGGCTTTCTTAAGAATTGAGTGACATTCTCAAATTAATCCTTTTTTCAGTGAAGTCTATTAAATGCTAGTAGAGCATGGTGCAGCAAGTGGACTTTTCATGCTGTTTCAGGTACCAAAATCAAGATTTTCAACACCACTATTACTTGATGAGCCAAAGCAGAAGTAAGCAGGAGGCACAGTTCAGAAACAGATGAAAAGAGAACCAGTGTAACTTAAAAACAATACACTTGGTGGAAACTGAAATAGTTGCATAATGCAGAAAAATGAATTTTTATAGTACAAAATAGTACAGATAAAAAATAGTCATATGAAAATAATCAGATTATTTCTGTAGTTTGTAACTAGCTTGTCACCTGGAGGCATGAATGACTAATCTTGTAGCCAGCCTTTTACTGTACCTCAAATGTCTTCAGAAACTCAGAGAAGGTTTTTTTTTTCTCTGACCTAACCCATCAGAAGCAGGATGCAGTGGCCAGTAACTAAGCTGTGCAGAAAAAAACTACATCTCATCACTTATTCCTAATCTAGCCTGCTGCAGCCTTCTATTGTTGTGAATCCTAACAATTAGTAAATTTTGTATCTGTGTGGAATAGTATTTGTTCAGTGTTTTATTCTGGAATTACCATATAACTATATCTAATAGCTAAACACAATACAAGCAGCTGCAGTATGTTATGTTCCTGGCTTCTTAACAGGCAGGCAACATTGAGCAATTTAAAATGGGTAGACTGGGGGAAAGGGGAGAGGTGGCATAGGATAGATAGTTCCAGTGTGGAAAGGACCTGACTGGCATGGTGCTGAGCACATCCCACCACTTCTGCTAGTCTGACTGCCTCGGCTCAGGGCTGGTTTGGAAATGGTGCAGATGTCTGCCCTTGAGAAGCCTCAAACAGGCACAACAGAGAAGAAAAAAAAAAAAAAACAGCTTCCTGCTAGAAGCAAAATTATTCAGTGCTACTGATAGCAGTTGGAACCAAAGTGATTCTGAGAACTTTAGCATACGTCAGGGGAGTAGAACAGTATTTTTTTGCTTCTCCAGTAATAGCCTCTGCACACTACTATTGTCTTTAGAGATTACTTTTTCCCTATTAATACTTCTTAATGGGTTGAGCAACACAGTTATTTTGGAATGAATGACATGTAGAGCCCATGAAATGCACTTTGAGCTGACACAAACTGAGCACATCCATCACAGGTGGCTAGATGTGCTTTGTCCCTGAAAGTAACAATGGCCAGTAACTTTCTGAAAAAACTGAGTCTGCTAGAAAATGTCAGAGAAGTGGCATTCACAGTATTTGGAGGATAATCTTGGATTCAGTATGTTTACTATGAAGTGAAAAAGAATGCCTCTATGCAAAGAGCCTGGTTTCCTTATCAGTGCATGAGCATTCAGAGCAGCATTGCAGTTCTGCAGATGTTAAATTCTCCATAAAACCCTGGAAGCAAAAGTTGCAACTGCAGTGCAGCTCCCCAGTGGACAGGAGATAATCTTGGAGCCCTGAAGTACTGGCTTAAACTAGGCATCAAAGCTTCCACTGTTTTTGCCAGACAGCAGGGCACCTAGAAATGCCAAAGCTGGTTTTCCACATGTTCCATGTCTCAGGGTAAGCTTCTGGACTGATTAGTCGTATAGTTTGGCTTTGCAACAGGCAGCTGTGAAATCTGGCAGCCCTAGGGATCCCTAGAGTGACAGAGCACTGGAACAGGCTGCCCAGAGAGGCTGTGGAGTCTCCTTCGCTGGAGACATTCAAAACCCGCCTGGACTCATTCCTGTGTGATGTGCTCTAGGTGATCCTGCTCTGGCAGGGGGGTTGGACTCGATGATCTTTCGAGGTCCCTTCCAACCCCTAAGATTCTATGAACCCTTTTGGCAGGAAGGAACCAGAGATACATACTGAAAGCTGATTAAATGCCAGGATATTAGGGAATGTCACAGTCACTAAATATCCCTGCTTCTGAACAGTCATTTGGGGAAAGAGAAAAACAAAATGGGGGATTTTTCTGATTTGTGGGGAATTGTGGTGCATCTATGCTTCCAGTAAACCTGAAACAGAAAGTACTAGCCACCTCAGCTCTCTATTGTGCTGCCTAAAGATCACTTATGTTCTGAGATAAACTGCTAGACTAGAGCAATTCCTTCACATCTGCAGTCTATTCAGCAGTTCCTCAGTCAAGAGCTCAGAAATGAATGTCTGGTACAACCTGTAGAGAAGCACATCTCTCCAAGACGATCAAAATGAATTATCATGCATTTAAGCTTGCCCTTTGTGGGTGTGGAGGAAATCTAGTTTTCATAGTAATGCATAGGATCCCTGGGAAAAGCACTGTTGCAGCATCAGCTGTGGTGAAAATATTTTTATTTTGCAATTGGACAGAATAAAAAATAATACCATCTCTTAATGATGATAGCTGCTTTTGCACAGATAGCTTATGGAAATACTTTTTAAAAATCAAAATTAAAAACTTCTGATTGTAGGACATTAACAGCATTAGAAAACTAGGAAAGACATGAGCAACCTAAAAAGATTTATTTATTATATATCAAATACACCCGTTTTTGAAGGGTTTGTTTCAAATTTTACTGAATTAATTTGTTGAATTAATTTGCTGAACAAATCAATCTTTGGAAGAAGTCATATATGGATACTATGATTATTTGTTTTGCTCTAGTCACCTGCCTCTTCTGATTCAGTATTTGACCACCTCTCAGCATTGAATATCAATTATAAAGTTTCTGTAATATATGAAATGACTATGTCCTGTTTTCTAATAATACACTACCATGATTTATAATGACTATATGCAATAGAACAATTACAATACTGGGATTTATTTTGTCCAGGTCATTAATACATAGTTTTTTAAAAAGTTATTACAGATTTATAGACATATTGCAACCTAAGCTTCTGCTTCAAAAGTCTCTTCTACTGACACTCTACCATATGACCCAATTTTAAAATTAGATAAGCAGAGAACATAAAAAGCACTGTGTACAACTGCCCACTGTACTTCCAGAATCACTGCCTTGTCTCTTCCTTACCTAAGAGCCTCTTGTTATAAAAAGATTCTTTTAGTTGCCTATCCTGTACTTTCTTGTTCTTACTATCTTCAAGGTTTGACCTTTTCTTTTTCATTATTTACCTTGCAAATAGCCTGTTGGCAACAGTCTATTCTTTTCCATTTCAGGCTTTTGTACACAGTGGTCTCTCTGAGATTTCTCTTGAAACATAAATGCCAGATTCACAGTGTTGAATATTAACTCCTTCCTGTAGCTCTCAAAGTCCTTTAGTTTTCTGTGGTGTCGTACTTAAAGTATTGCACACAACTTTCACATTTGATACAAGAAAGTGCCTGTATCTTCCCAGTGCCCAACTGAAATTCTTAGTTGCTTAGTTTGCATCTTTTATGCTGTATTGTCTTGTTAGCTAGCCTGAGAAATTTATAAGCAGTAATTATTCTTGGCTTTGTCTTTCTTCAGTTTATGACAGTTTCAACTTCCTAAGTGGGTAGTTATGCAACCCTTTAATCTTAAATTTCCCCTGGGGAAGATGAAGTCTAAGAAACTGTTCCGTGCACAGACTTAATTTTGGTTGTACTGATACCCTGAAAAACAGCTTATGTCTCAATAGTTGTCCTTCCTTCTCTGACAATTCTGTGAATCTACACCAGTCTGGACTTCCTGTAGAAATCCAATGTGATGCATAAAACTTAATGTGATATTTAGACTTAACATATTTTTAAATCTGTATTGCCATCATGTACTTGCATGATAAATTCCATTTGTTCTATCTTGCACTTAGGCTTCCATCATTCTCCTGACTTTCGATGCTGTCAGAACTA